ATAAAATATTAACTGAGGGCAGTGTAGCATTTTATCATAGGTTGGGTTTTGATATTAACTGTCTCTCTGGGAATTTATACTCATTCTGCATATATAAAACTTCCACATCCATCACTATGCATTCCCCAAACCACATTTTTTAGGATCAAGGCAGGGACTCAGGTTTTAATTAATGATCTCTCATATTTTATTGAGGGTCCTGGTCTCTACGGCTTGTCATGAATTGGAGGAGGGGCAGAGGATGGGTTTCCAGGAGACCTTCTGAATAGGAGGCTATTGCTTATATGGAATCTCCTCCAATTTGATTTTTGGGGTCTTTTCTCTCTGAACTATTTGTGCAGGAAATGGCACACTGGGGCGTATTTGCTGAGTGTCTCTGAGGGCACAGTTGGTAACTACTTTTTTATTCACTCCCATGCTTGAAAATGTGGCTCGGCAGAAAGCCCAGCCTGAGAAGAGACATTTGAAGTGTTGACCTCAAACAAAAGTAATTAGTTAGAAAACAAGCAGGGTTTATGTAAAAACTAAACGACAGTAGAGGGGGCCAACAGAGAGCATACACATGACATAAGCCACATATCCTTCCCTGAATGTAAGGCTAGCTCTACCTGTATAACCTCCTTCAAGACGTCCCGTCGGATTTCCACTGCAGGGGGGAGAGGGTGGGAAACGTGGGTATGTTGATCCTGAGGTTAGATGATTCGCGCATGCGCTGTTGACCCTGAGGTTAGCTGATTCGCGCATGCGCAGCCATTCTCTGGTGTCTGACCTAATTTGCACTGGAGGCACCAGTTAGCCCAGGATGGTCGCACCTCCCATAAACTCCTCAAGAGCATGGTGGGTGTTAGCCCTGTTTCTACTTATACCTCAAAAGCTTGTGGAAAGTCAGTCTGCTTTCCTCAGGATGTTGCTTTTCCTAAACGATTCCAAATCCGTCAGCTTGGGCTCCACCATTTGGATGCCCCTTCTCTGTAGTATCTGCTCCACCCAGGTCTGGAGCCTCCCATCTTTGCTCTCTACCTCGGCTACCCATTTCTTCTCTTGGAAACCTTAGATTTTTTTTCCTCATAGGATCTGCTCTTATCTCCTCTTCTGGGGCAGTCTCTTTTTTCTGCAATCTCCTGAATATTTTCCAACTTTTTATTTTTTGCAATACAGCTTATTTTATTTTTTTGGCAACTTCTTAGCACGTGTATTCCTCGCTTTTTCCTGTGTTTTCCCACACAGTGATAGGTCATATATAGTTTCAAAAGATATGTGTCCAATCATGGAATTGGAAACTGGATGATTTCAGACAGCAATTATATGTGCTAGATGTTCAGAAGGCCATGCACATGGAAAGACCTTTGTTAACAACTTGCCATAGTTTTGTCAGATTGAAATCTGCCTATTAATGATAGTAAGGAAATAAAGTATAGTTTAGCACTGAAGAGAAAGCATGCATGAGTTATATCTGAGTTGAAAACTTGTCCTGCGTTTTATTGGTAGGTGATCTTCAGCAAGACATGTTATTCTCTAGGGTTTAGTTCTAGTGGCTGTAAAGCAGAACTGATGAGTTTCAGTGGATATAAAATGTATTATTATTTATATACTACTAAGAAAGAAAACTGCTGTCAACTAAACAATGATACAATGCTTCCTGTGACTTAGATGTTTTATTTTATATGTATTGAAATAGTCCTTTCTGATGATGCACTAGGTTTTTGAAAAATCATGTATCTTCATGCGTCTTTAAAAGGCAATCTTAAAGTAAGAAAATACGAGAAAAATGAGTAAGTTGACGTTTTTCTGAAGTGTTTACATGTGGAGAATCTGTGTTCTGAAATGCATGTTGACTCAGAGTAGTGAAGCTCATGTGTTCCTACATATAATCATCCTTTGCATTACCGGAGGTATATTGGCAATGCAGTATTCCCCACCCCTTTTTCTAAGAATGAACTACAGTTTTCAGCAGGATTTTCTACCAAGGTGCCAGTGCTATTCTAAAGGTTTTAAAATGCTGGTTAAAAGGCTGATTTTTACCACCCCATATCAGCAGATGTTTTTAGGCAATAACCAGGATTAAAATTGTCCTAAAGTGGTTTGTACATAACACCAGGGAACAGCAGATGGCCAGCCAGGTCAGCAAGGATAACAGTCACATAATAGCATCTTTATCCAAACTGTACACCTAGCAGTTGTAAGACAGATCTCTGTTTAGAGGAGAGAATGTTGTAGCACTTTGTAATTACGGCTATAATACACTCTTAGGAAACACAATGGAACCCTCTCACAGCAATAACTGTTTATGGAGCAGTCATTTATGTGATGTATTTATTAACTTAAGGTTTATGTTTATGTTTACACTTTCCCTAATATATGTTTTTATTAAGATATGATTTATACAAATGGAATGCATAGATCTCAAGTACAGAGATCTATGAACTTTGAGACCTGTGTTTTCAGCAACCCTCTTAGATATTTTCATCACCCCAGAAACATCACCCTCGTGCTCCAGCCCATTCATCACCTGTCCCTTTCTTGACATCTTCTGAAATGATATATATTTTAAAGATGTATTTATCTATTCATACAGAACTGGGTTATAGGCCAGAGGTGCAGGGGTGATGACAGGATTCACCAGAGACAGAGTGGGGAGCAGAACAGGCAGATTGACAAAGTACACTGCTGAGGGGAGAAGGGGGTGAGACAGGAGAGGTCTGCTGTGCCATGTGGGTCACCTCAGGGCCAGGGATTGAATTCACACTGCAGCCAGCTTGCAGTGCTGTGCTTTAATCCTCTGCACCACTAGGGAGGGCCCTGTAATGATATTTTTTGTTATGCATCCGGCATGCCTGTTATAGAACTTAATAGCAGTGTAATCATGTGGCATGCACTCTTTTGCATTAATTTTTTTTTTTTTGAAATCCTCTTGTCACTGTGTGCATGTACTGTGTGCATGAAGAATTTGTGCTTTTTATTGCGGAATAGCCATCCATTGTGTGAACATAGCCTCTTGGCGCTCTCCTCTCATTTTCAGTTTTGGGCTGTCATGAGTGAAGCCACTGTGAACATTCAACTACAAGTAAAGACAATGGCAGAATTTTTTCTCCAGGTGGTTGTACCATTTTACACTTGCATTTGTGCAGAAGTTTTGGTTGTTACACATCCTTGTCAGTGCAGACAGTTCATCTGGTTAACTTGCGACACTTAAATGGTATTATGGTGGAAACTCTACACTTTCATTTGCATTTTTCTGGTGACATGAGTATCAACACTTTTTCATATCTTTATTGGCCACTTTTATATCCTACTTTGCAAAGTGTCTGTTTAAATTATTTGTGCACTTTTTTTTTCAGTAGTTATTTGTGTTTCAATTATTAAGTCAGGGGATTCAAGTCTTTCATCTGAGATGTGCATTGCAAATATTTTCTCCCAGACACAAAGATGATTGAGGCCTTTGAACCCAGTTTGTCCTTCTGGATCTTTTAACTGATGATTAGAGCCCATTCATATTTAGTGCGATTATTGATATATACTTTTTAATTATCATTCTTTTTTAAATTTTTGATTGTTTTCCCTTTTTCATTTGTTTCTTTCTACTCTTTACTTTGGATGGCTTTCCTTACTGATTCTACCAGTTTCTTTGTTTCTTCCGTTTGCCTCTATGGTAGAGTTTTGGTTAGTGGCTGCCCTGAGGGTTCTTCCTAACTTACTATGTCTAAATTTTACGGGCTGCTATTGGCTCTCTGACATTAACTATACAAGTTCTGTCCATTTCTTCCTCCCCTCGGGTGTTTTGTTGTTGACTTATAAGATTCTTTCTCATGCTTCTGATGTATTCCTGTTGTTATTTATGTTTTCTTTTCTTGTAGGAGAACTTTCAATATTTCTTGTGCGGGTCTGGTGGTGATAAACTCCATTAGCTTCTGTTTATCTGGGAAAGACCTGTTTCACTGTCATATTTGAATGATAATTTGCAAACTAGAGTATTCTTGGCTGGCAGTGCTTGTATGCTAGGATCATGAAAACTTCAGTCTACTCTTCTTGCCCAGAGCGTGACTGTGGGGAGGTCTGTGGAAAGGCTAATTTGGATATTTTACCTTCTTTTTCATGGGTGCATGCGCATTTTTTAAATCTTTGATAATTTAATATTGATGTGTCTTGGTATAAGCCATTTTGCATTTAGACGTCTGTGTGTTCTCTCTGCTTTCTGGACACCCAAGCTATAAGTATTCCTTAGATTTAAGGAATTATCAATCATTGTTGCTTTGACTAGGATTTCTCTTCCATTCTCTTTCTGTTTTCACCTTCTGGAATACCCATTGTCTTTGTTTCTTCTTGTATTTGAGTCTATAATTTTCATGAATTTCTTTCTTTTTCCTAAGTCTTGTTTTCTTCTATTTTGAAGCTCTCTTCCACCAGGTTGATTCTATTAAAGTATTTCCAGTTACTTTTCATTTCATTCAGTGTTTCTTAATATCATCAACATCACCTTCTTTGTTCCTGGATCTCCTTTCTGTGACCTTGTACTTGCCCCTATGTCTTCAATTGTCCTCCCTGTTCCTTATTTAGCATTTTTTAATATTATCATTTTAATATAGGATTTGAATTCAGGTCTAGTTGACCTTTCAACCTTCTCTATTATTTTGTCTCTTTGACATTTGGATATTTGAATGGAAGAATACCGTGTGATTGCTCTTAGGAGTTTTTTCTAGTCATATTTTAATTGGGACATTTTTGTGTCATCATGTTTTACAAGGACATGAATTAGCCAATGGAAGCCCCTTAAAAAATATATAAGAATAAGGTGATAAGGAGACTGGAGGTTTTCTAACATAAGGAGGTAAATCAATGTTTTTCCAGATTGTTGTATAAAAGGAGGAATATTATGAAGTTTGACATAGTTGGAGTTTAGTGCTCTATGTCTACACTGTTGATGTTAGCTCTTGCTAAATCTTGCTTGTGTGGGGATGCTGTAAAGTTTGATTTCTTTCCTTTTCTCTCACAATGTGCTGCAGGAAACCATTTCTGTATGGCCAAGGAGCTCACGGAGGAGATTAGATCACTAACATCAGAGAGGGAAGGGCTGGAGGGACTCCTTAACAAGCTGCTGGTGCTGAGTTCTAGGAATGTCAAAAAGTTGGGAAGCATTAGAGAAGATTACGACAGATTGAGAAGAGAACTGAACCATGGGGAAACAGCTTATGGTAAGTGGTCACAACTTTTGAACTATTTGTGATGTTTATTGTTTTGTGTGGCTGAACAGGTTGTTCTGTGCTTCATGTGAATGCCACAATGGAGGGTGTCCTCTAGCATTCTTTCTAAAGTATTTTATTGGCAGGATTGTTGCAAATGGGGTAGAAATACCTATCAGCTTTTGTGTCGCTATTCATATTTGACATTTGTTAGCGTACTTTTTACATTACATTGTTGTGAATGTTTAGCAGTATTTGAACTTGCCCCTCAGGCGGAGATCTATTACCGCCGTCCCTTATGCTCTTCCGGCCCATTTTTTTTTTAAAGATTTTTTTATTTGTACATACAGAACTGGGGTACAGGCCAGAGGCTCAGGGGTGGTGAGAGGCTTCACCAGAGACAGAGTGGGGAACAGAACAGGCAGATTGACGAAGTACACTGCTGAGGGGAGCAGCGGGCGGGTCAGGAGAGGTCTGCCACGCCATGTGGTCACCTCTGGGGCAGGTGGGAATCGAACTCATGCGGAAGTGGCTTTAGCTTCTCAGTGCAGTGCTTTAACCCGCTGCGCCACCAGGGAGGGCCCTCTTCCTGCCCATTTTGACCCACATTCCTCCCCTTCTCCTGCTGTATTCCTCAGATCTATGATTAGCTTGTGAATTTTATCTTTTTTCCCCAGACCCTTTGTTTGGTTTCTCTAAATTCCTCATATAGTTAAGTCATCCGATATTAATCCTTTTGACTTATTTCAGTTGGCATAATCCTTTCCAAGCCAACTATAGTGTTGCAGATGGCTTTAGTTTATATCTTTTGATCGCTGAGTAGTATTCCATTGTGTGTATGTACCACATCTCCTTGATCTGTTCATCTTTTTGGGGGCGTTTAGGTTGTTTCCATATTTTGACTATTGTAAACAGTACTTCAGTAGACATAGTGAAGGTTTCTTTTAGATTAGTGTTGTCTTTTCCCACCTCCATTACCCTATTTTCTAATAATCTTGTGATCACTTAGAGCAGTGTCTCCCTTGGTACAGGCCTTGAGAAGCTTCTGCATCTGGCAGTTATCATCCTTTTGTTTTTTGACTCAATCTTTTTGCTTGCACAGTCATAGAGTAAAGCAGTTTGACTCAGAAAATTGAGAAAGGACCCTGAATTGAGTCTTTCATGAGTAAGCTTTTTTGCGTGTGTTTTTCTCAGGAAAAATGATGTAGAAGATGCTTCTGCATAAATGACTGCTTACCAGTGGAGTTACAGTATTCTTATATTCTCTTCCTGTTCCAGTTGTTAGGAGTAACTAAGGTTTCCTTGAGTTTGCTCCCTGAGGGATTGTCTGAGAAGATGTAGATTCAGTACAAGTTGATAAAATAAAAACTTATTTCTTACATCAAATGTAAGAATTTCTGATCAATCAGTTTCTAAGTGTAGAAAGATATCATATGATGCAAATTCTGATGTAAAATATATTAGATGCTACAAGGTGTTTCTTCATTAGTAAAAAGAGAAAAGAATATCCAGTTTGCAGGCTGATACATGGTACAGACTGAATGAGATAACACAGAGATCCTCAGATGTTTGCTCATTGTGCGAGTAGGTGTGAGTGTGCATCTGGGTGGCTCACGAGCATTTTCCTGAGGAGCGAGCAATTGAAGTAGGGGAGACAGCTTAGTATGTCTTGCCCTCTTAATAAGTGCTGTTTAATAGAAAAATGAAAGACAAACACACTATTTAATGACTACATTTTCACAGGATGATTATCTAAAAAGAAGTAAGAAAGAAATGGTATATGAAGCAGCCACACTTGAAATAGGTTTATTTGAAAATGCTCCACAAATTGAAGAAAACAAAGGTTCAAAGGTTAGTATTTAGAACCAAATAAAGAAAGATGAAATCTGCTAGCAGAGATTAAGTGTGCCATTATACAATGAATATATTTTGTTTAGAAGACTTGCTGAATTGTGTAGAGAGGCTCTTCACAGAGTCATTTGAGTCACAGATGGAGTGTTCAGTTGTTATAGTGTCCTCTTAGCAATGGGCACATCTACATTAGCTCAGCAGCTCAGAGCTTCTTCTTCTTCTTTTTTTTTTTCATTTCTGCAAGGTACAGTCTTGTTTTTGCCAAATATGTATTACGTATTAGACTGTATATTTGAGCCTTAGTGTATACCTATAGTACTGAGGAATAACAACCCCCCACCCTGTATATATCATAGTGTGATTTATTGTCATAATAGGCATTGGCCATTTGAAATAAATTTTATTGTGTTAAAAATGTGTAAATAATGAAAACTATGAAGAATTTCATGTTATCACCATATAACTTTCACACAAAAATGAGGAATCTTTTATATATAAGAATAGAGATGATATGAACAAATTTGGACGAATTTAGTTCAGCGATGTTTTCATTTGAACCTTGAGCTCTTGAAAGCCATTAATATCTCTTTAACAAAATGAGCTGCATAGTATTTTTTGAATCTCATCATTGTCACTTCACTAAGTATTTTCAAAATGATGAATAAAACATAAACAAATGGAATAAGAGACTGTTACCATGGATGACTCTAAATTGCAGATGGCTCATTACTGGTATGAAGATTTTATGTTTTATATGGGATTTTGCTGCATCAGACACTTCCTCCTCCCGTTCTTTTGGTTGGAGCTAATTTTAACCAACTTGAGGTGACTTGGCTTTTAGTGAGCCAAATTAATCATGATGGGTTGCAAAGAATATAGGAGACAAGTAAATAAATGATGACTTCCTTAGTAAAAAAAAAGCTTTTGCGTATTGAAATGTAGTAAAGCTAGGCCAACGTCCATATTCTGTCATTTGTTGGGTTTTGAGATTTAAAAATTCAGAGGGAGAATTGTAGAGCAAATATAAAGGAATATTATATGTGTGCATTCATGTACCATGAGCTGAGTTCTTTTATTCTCAGATAAAACGTTTAAAAATAAGAAAAGGAATGAGCAATATGTAGCATTCTTGAAAACAGATTTTGATTTCCTAGTAATGGTTGCAGATTGTGACATGCGGGGGACAAAGGCAATTAGTAATGGCAGGGCAACTTCAGGCTGGCGGGGATCAGGCTCTTCTGTGCTGTTATTTTCTGCTCTTCAACATTAGGACTTTCCTTCCAAGAGAGCTGACTCAGCCCTGTGCATAAGTGAGCCCACCCAGGGTCCTGTTTCCATAGCGCATGAGGAGATTGCAGTCTTAGGGACCATGGCTGGTTTCTTTCACCCAGTGAGCTCTTGTTCATGGAATAAGAATGGCTCATGCCAGATGAACTTGTTTTGCTGATCACTTACAATATCATTACATCTTATGCACCCGGTAGATTACCAGTCCTTATGCTTAAAAAGCATCAATTTCATGTTTTATTTATTTGGTTGCATATCTGGCATGTTTTTATTTATTTGTTTGATTGTTGTAAAAGTGCTTTCTTTTAAAAATTTATTTGTTTCCTTATATCTTTGCTAATAGTTGGATTGCACTGGTTTCTTCCCTCTGGTGCAGTCCTCCAACTACCATATCACCTGGTTCCAACCTAAAGAAAGGGAAGAGTCTCTTGTGCTTTTCCTTCCTGTGTTTTGTCTCTTTCTCCTCCTACCCTTCCCTCACCCCCATTGTATGGTTTGTATTTTTAAAGATGGTAAAAATACCATAAATAATTGTTCATTTGCTGGGACCAGATGTTAAAACAAAACAGTAGTTCTTTTTTTCTTTTGTGTTATAGACACAGATCTTAGATCTTATTTAAAATTAAAAAAAAATTCATTTCTCAAATTAATGGGAACAGTGATAAGTTTTGATAGTCTTTCATGGAAAATGTTTGGCTTGTCTGAGCTGAATAATCAGATTGGGATGTCAGTAGGCAGAACAACAGGATGAAAAAGGACCGAAATATGCGAAAGTACTCAAGGGCAAAGGGAGACAGAAATCATTACTGAATCTGCTGATTTTAGTCCCAGTGACACAAAGTCTCTGTGAAATGGAGAGAAAGGGATGTGTTTTAACCCCCATGAGCTGTTCTTACGATTTCAGGAGAACACTTTTGAATTCTGAGCAATTTTAAGTGCCGTGAAATAGAATGGAAAGCTAAATCTATTTTTCAACTCCTCAATACTTATGGAAATGAACTACAAACCTTTAATTATTGTGGATTCCAATTTTTTTTAAGGGAGGGTGAGATTTAAAAAAAAATCAGTAACTTCTTTTTTACAGTTTGTTATATCTGCTCTTCAGAAAAATGACAGGCCTGAGATTTACATAACTGTTTTTCTATCTCTTGTGTATAAGTTGGTAATCTGTATTGTACTTTATTAATATTGTTGATTTTGCACTGTAACTCAGATATAAAGGAAGCAGACGTCAAGGGGAGAGATTTAATCACAGAATAATCAGGGCTAGAATTTTAAATAGGACATCATTAGCATGTTAATGAATTTTCCCACTTTATGCCAGCTGCCCTAGTAGAAAAGACTTTGCAGATGTAGCTCAAAAGTCTGCCGGGGCGTGCAGCCCAGCGAACTGCCAGGAATTCGTGTAGAGGAACCGTAAAATACGTAAAGGGATTCTCATTGTAGTATCAAATGGTAGAATTTCTTTTTTTCTGGGGGTGGTGGCTGGTTGTGTCAGATGAAAGTCATTTGCGTACCAACTAGTAAAGAGAAAGCAGAAGGTAAATAAAGAGAAAGATAAAGTAATAAAGTTGGTGTGAAATCAACTTTTCAATTATGGTTTGAGACAGAATCTATATTTTGTCTTAACCCTACATTTTGGACTACTTCAGAATTTTTGAAATCGAAATAACTAATAAGAGGAAGTGCATATTTTATTGAATATAACGTCATCTGTAAATAGTGATAGTTTTCCTTGTTTAATTAGTACTTCTACAACTATGCTGAGTAACAGTGGTGAGAGTGGACATCTTTGTCTTGTTCCAAATCTTAGAGGAAAAATTTTCAGTTTTTCACGATTGAGTATGATGTTAGCTGTGGGTTGGTTTCTATAT